AAGTTCGGCCTCGACGTCATGAGCGTGTCCTGGGAGGACAACGGCCGCTTCAAGGGCTCGTGCTGGGGGCCGTGCATCAGCGACATGACCCTCAACGTGCTCGACCACGCCCTCCCGCTCGTGCGCCACCCCAACTTCGAGGACCTCACCTGGTGCGCCACTGCACATTCACATCTTTTCATCTTACGAAATTCATCTGATTTATTATTCTACACGAATCTTCATCTTCATCATCTTCGCAAATAGAGAGCATAACTCTCATCTTTGCTTTTTGGTTGGTCGCTACGCAGGGACGTGCCGATGGAGAAGATCCCGCTGGTGGTGGGCAACGAGATCAAGGGCGGCCAGCTGTACACGGTCACGCTCAAGGAGTACCTCGAGAACTTCCGCCTCTACCTCCACAACCCCCAGTCGTGGAAGGGCTCCAAGTACGACACCTGCTTCCACGTCGTGTGTCATGTTGTGTCTAACCACCATCGTGTCGTGTGTCGTGTGTCGTGTCGTGTTATTTGCAGGACGTCGCTGTACGCGGCGGAGAGGGACAGCCATGCGCTGATGTCGTCGCAGGCGTGCTTCCTGCCGGTTCCCAAGGGCAGCGACGCCACGTTCAACGTCTCCATCTTCAACTACCAGTCCTACAGCGGGCACCCGGCCGTGCTGGCCATCGTCGCCACCAGGTACGTGTCGAGCGCGCGTGGTGTCCGTGTGTGTCGTGTGATGCGTGTGATGCGTGTGATGCGTGTGATGCGTGTGATGCGTGTGATGCGTGTGATGCGTGTGATGCGTGTGATGCGTGTGATGCGTGTGATGCGTGTGATGCGTGTGTCGTGTGTCGGAAAGAGGAAACTCACCTCGCAGTACAGTCAGGGCACGTCGGCGCAGGTGGTGCAGGACGGTAGTCAGAAGCTGTACTTCAACAAGAGCGGTGAGAAGGCCAGCTTCATCGGTCAGCGCCTGAGCGACAATCGCAAGGAACGCGGTGTAGCAACTGAGGGCGAGATGACCAAGGAGGAGAAGCAACAGGTACCATCACATGTTTGTACCACACACACACCACACACACACACACACACACACACAGTGATCCTGAACGAGGCCTAAGTCACTCACCATTGCATGACGCAGAACATGATCATGGTGATTCAAGTACCTTTGAAGCAAGCACAGCGACCCACGTATTTCATGCCACCGTA